CACCTCTGCTGATTTACTCCCAACAGCCAGGTCTAAATCAAACCTGGCTGTCACTTACACAGGGACCCTGAGCACCCACGTGTTACCAGTGAGAAGCCCACCTCACCACCGCTTTAACCGTGGGTCAGCACCTTCCTCTGCAGTAACATCAGAGCTGCACGCAGTCAGAACCGGGTGAGCTCTGAGGTCCCTTCCAACCCAAGCCATTCTATGACTCACCTCCTCCCTTTTGGAGGCCCACTACACATTCCGGCTGGTGACACTGTAATTACACAAGACAGAAGAGGAACCCACCTAGGACAGCAAAGGAGACGAAGCCTCCCGAGCCCTGCAGCAGCCGTAGAGCTGCGGGCTGTGCAGAAGCGCCGTGATGCGAAGCGATGAGCCGCTGAAACGCCCCGCAGGCAGAGCTGAGCGGGGCGCACGGCGCCCCTCCCCTCTGCTCCGCCCCGCCATCCCCAGCAGCGCAGCGCCACGGATGCATTCAAACAGCAGTTTGCACTTCGCGCCTCCAAACGCATCGCAAACTGGAAACCTGCAGCACTCACGTAGCTTCACTTCGGATTAAAGCAATCCACTGGCTGATAAATGAGAAAAAACGAAGCCGAAGCGCTTGGCCAAGGGTCGCAGCTAATCAGAATTCCTTCCTGTAAACCAGAAAAATCATACCTGCCACACATCCAAAAACCATCCCACCGCCCAGGACAGGGAAGAACACCCAATCCCTGCCAATGCCTCTGCAGCTCACAAAGGGAACAGTTTATCTGTGGAAATTGGGACAGAGCACTGGAACAGGCTGCCCAGGGAGGTGGTGGAGTCTCCTTCTCTGGAGATGTTCAAGACCTGCCTGGATGCTGACCTGTGCGACCTGCTGTAGGGAACCTGCTTTGGCAGGGGGTTGGACTTGATGATCTCTGGAGGTCCCTTCCAACCCCTGCAATTCTGTGATTCTGTGGAAATTACCAACCTGCCTGTGCCCTGGGTGAGCACAGAGGTGGGTGGCAGCCATTTGGGATCCTCCTTCTTCACAGCCTGAAGGGCCTCGTTATTCCAGTGACCCCAAGCACACTCTATTTTGCTGCTGTGTGTTTATTATATTCGACCTTTCTACTTATTCCTTTTATCTCACTATGAAAAAGCCACCACCGTATCTCACAAAACCTAAGATTTGTGTAGAAATCCAAACGCATTAAAAATTGCCCCACTCAACGCTGAACCATTACTAAGCTAACACAAGAGCACAGAACTGCCTTTCTAAATAGAATTTTTCATGACACAACGAGATAAATTCAAGCTATATCCCCCAACAGATCAGCCATACAGAAGAGCTTTCTCCACCACAGCGCTATCAGTGCAAGCTGACTCGGCTGCCTGCGTGGCAAAAGGAAAGAGGAAGGATGGGAGACACATCCAGACCAGTTCAATCCAAACCAGTAAAGCCTTTTGGAAAATACCCGATGAATTTAAAATGCAGCCAGGAGATTCAAACCCCACCTCGGCAGGCTGATGCTAACTCTGCACTGCTTCAGGGAACAGAGCTCCCTTTATTCCCTGACCCACTGCTTGGGGACAAAATATCAACAGAGGGAGAGCTGCGATCTTGATGTAGCAACAAAAGGAATTGCCTTTCTGAGCGGCTCTCCCCGCGGAGGTAAAGGACAAAATAATGAATGGTCTCAGCTATCAGTGTGTCACTCGCTGAGTAACGACCGTCCCCAAGTGCCACAGCAAGGCACTCGCAGGGGTTTGCCTTCAATCCTTCCACCGACAGACCAAACGCACATCTGCAGTTTGTCACTCAAATTACTTCTTGCAAATCTGAACCGTTTTCAGAAGCAGCTATTTCAGCCCTCTCTGCTACCTAGTGCAAACACAGGCAGCTGCACCGGCCTGGACTCCCCACAGTGACAATTCCAGTTAGGAGTCCAGCAGCCACACTCTGCCCCGTTTGGGTACAGTGCTGTCAGTGGTTATTGTAACACGTGTTCCGCTCAGGCACAAACTCAATCTGCACCAAACCTTTTGCAGAGGGCCATACGCTGCCACATCACAGCGACTTTGTATCTCATCAACTCGCTTGTGCTCATGCTGCCTTCAGAATCTCTCTTGCATCCCTCCTGAAAATACAGTGCAAGTTAAAAAGGCAAATTGCTGCAAAGAAAATTACCATTCAGTGCTCCGAAATGTCAGTTTAGAGTAAATTTAGCAGCGCTCTTCTGCACAAAAACAACAGACACAGATCTGCCTGGCTCCTTCAAGGCGTGATGTAGGAAGAGAGATTCAACAAGAAATCCTAGAAATAATCTTCTTAAAAAAAAAAGGAAGAAAAAAAAAAAAACAGCCACAGGTTAGAGAAGCCAAACTCCCCACAGAACACACAGCATTGCTTTTATTCACTGTTTCTCCTCCTTTCTGACACAGCCGCAGCAGCACACTTACAGGCACAGGACACTGTTACATCACTCCCTATGGCAGATCTTGCTGCTGCCCTCATTTCCCAGGGATTAACCAGCAGCTCAGACCAGCTTTTGCCCACTGCACAGAAGGCAGTGCAGTCAAATACTTAATGGCAAAGGTCCCCAAACCCTTTCATTTAAGAACTGCCACGGCTGCCCCACGTACTGGAGATGCCCGCATTCACCTTGGCATGCTGACATAATTACACAAGTTCCAAGCTAGATTTCTTTTTTTGTCTTTGTCATTGTTACTTCTGACCAAAGAATCACACTGGCAATCCAGGGAGACCCAGGGACACTAAGAACTGAATTCCATTTACTAGCTGTTCCCCTCTGGCACACAGCTGTATGAACATTGATGCCAAATCAAGGATGGTGGAAGAACATTGGGTGGTGAAGGGGACAGAGCAATTCTTCCACGCGGCCTTAAAACCCCAACAAGTGCTGGTGGCATTAAAAAAGCATCCAGCTCAGTTTCAGGCTTGCAATGCAAAATGCCAAATTATGACAGAAAGCTCCTCAACAACAGCGACGAGCAAGTAATGCTTCATCAAACAGCAAGATCTGCAAAATGCTCCTGTTAAGAAAGTCACAACTGTCTCATCTCGCCCTCCCAGACGATCAATACTAAACCTGCACATTTAAAGGCAGGAAGCCTTGATGGTTTAACAAGCACGCAGACAGAGGGAAGGCAGCTTCCACGCAGCACACCCCTACTGCTTGTCTGTGCGGTTGATGGCCCCATCTTTCTTTCTCAGCTATTCCATTCACTCATGAATTATGCAGAGTTGACTTAATAGAGCCAGGAAATAGCATGGCGGTGATAGCCCATCACCTGGCAAACACCATCAGTCTTGTAGCTGCCTTAGAGATCTGAAGGCACACAGTGTGCTGAAAAAAAACAGGCAGAAGGCACAGCCTCCCAGCCTGCAAACATCACAGGTAATGATGTGGGGTTACTGGGGATGAGGGGCCCAGAGTCATCATCTGTATGGAGAAGGATGGAGACAAACCATCTCGCTGTGGAGTCAATCAGTGCCTCCAGGGAAAACATAACAGCCGCCCTTACCCCAAAGGAGTTGGTAGTGGAGATAAAACCAAAGTCTGTTTTCACTTGAGTTCAGGCCTGAAGCAAAAGCAGTCCCTTCTCAACTCCAGGCAATGCACCAGAGGCAAGCTGACAAAGTTAGGTGAAACGAGGGCTGTGCACAGTTAGCATGGCCACCCCAAAAGGAAGGACGCGGGAGGAAGGGAAATCTACAAAAGCCAAATCTCCCCCAGGCAGGTACACTGGTCTCTATATTGAGCAGATCTGCATGAGGAGAGTGAGCACAGCTCAGTGGGCTCTAGGAGACCCCTTACAAAATACCAGGACTTAGTCAGACTTTTTGAAACGGTAACTGAAATTGTTACTGTTCCAGTTCAGATTCAACCCAAATTTCAGAACAACATCTTAAATAAGAAAATAACATAGCAAATGATAGCTATGTCCCAACCTGACTGTTTGATCTCACTCATACATCCCTTTTACTTCGTAACTTTGGAAATGCAAATGTGGAATATCAACAGCATGTGATGTTAGTTTCTCAAGATCATTTTTACAGTAAGACATTGTGTGGATAGATGCAAGTATCAACAGAACCTGAAAGTACAAAGCCACTCTTTATTTAAAAAGATAAATGACGTTCAAATCCATTAACAACCCAAGAAATACGTATGCAATAAAACAAAGCGTCTCTGGTTGCAAGAAGCATTCTGTACATACAATAAGTAGCCAGCAACAGCACCAAGCTAGTGATTGCACAGACCCTATAAAAAGTACCTCTGGTGGATGAAAGCCACAGACGAGGCAGCAGCGTCCATTGGGGGCCGGAAAGCCACCGGCATCCTGAGCCGCACCAACAGAGGGGTGGCAGCGGCAGGGAGGGGACCGTCCCCTCTGCTCTGCTCTCGTGAGGCCCCAGCTGCGGTGCTGCGCCCAGGCCTGGGGCCCCCAGCGCAGGAAGCGTGCGGAGCTGCTGGAGCGGGGCAGAGGAGGCACGGAGATGCTGCCAGGGCTGCAGCACCTCTGCTATGGAGACGGCTGAGGAGCTGGGGGTGTTCAGCCTGGGCAAGAGAAGGCTGCGGGGAGACCTCAGTGCGGCCTTCCAGGACTTGAGGGGAGCTCAAAACAGGAGGGAGAGCGGCTTTGTGCGCATGGCAGACAGCAACAGATGGGACGAGCGGGAACGGCTTTAAACTAACAGAGGACACTGAGGTGAGGTGTGAGGAGAACACTGCGGGCACAGAGGCGGCGAGGCGCTGGCACTGCTGCCCAGAGCTGCGGGTGCCCCATCCCTGGAGGCGACCAGGACGCGGGCGGCCCCGGGCAGCCCGAGTGCAGCTCCGCGATCCTTGCGGTCCGTCCCAACCCGAGCCATCCCATGATTCTACGCGGCGCTTGCCTCATTTTTCCCACAGAGCACTGGATCCTTGCTAGACTTCTTCTAAAAGAAATCTTACGACCAACCAGCCCGAGAAGAACAACCAAATCTGAAAACCAACCTCTTTTAGGATGGGGCTTTGGCGGTCCCGCCACCGCTGCCGACGAAGAAACCTGAGGAGAGAGAAGCGCGGCGTTAGCAGGGCGGCACGGCCCCCAGCGATTCCCGCCGCTCTCAACGACAAGTTCGGCTACTCGGCGAAGATTTTTTTTTGGGGGGGGGGGGGAGAGGCGGGCAGGGGGCAATAAAGCGAACGCAGAGGCAAAGCGAAGAGAAATAAAACGAACAGAGGCAAAACGAATGCGCCCCCAACGCAGCCCACCCTCCTTCCCTCCCCTCAGCTCACCGGCCCGGCCTGCGGCTCCGCCATGGCGGCGGGAGGAGCGCGGTTGCCGCGGTGACGGGGCGGGAAGGCGCGGCCGTGAGGGGAGCGGTGGGCGGCGCCGGGAGGGGCGGGGCGGGGCGGGGCGGGCAGCCGCCAAGCAGCGCGCGGAGGCCGGGCGGCCGTCGGTTCACGGCTGCGATCAGGACCGCGCTAAGGCCCGCCCGCACTCAACACGACGGCGGTTTCCTCCATCGAGCCCCGCCCTCACGCGCTCCGCCGCGCTGCCGGGGAGCGTCCAACCGGCGCGGGGAGCCCCGCAGCCCCGCCCGCCCCCCTCGCCCGGCGCCGCTCCGACGGCAGAAGGGCGGCGCGGGTCGCGGCGCAACATGGCGGCGCTGCGGGCGTTCCCCGGAGCCGGCCCTGCCCTGCGGAGCCGCCCTCGGCCCCTCCTCCCCCCGGAGGCCGCACAGAGCTCGAGGCCTGGCGAAAAATACCACAGGAGGAGTTCCTATACAGGAGTAGATTTAATAAAACCACCACCAATCGTTTACTTTAACATAGCTCTTGTTACAGAAATCATAAAAATGGACTCAGCAGCTAGCTCATTAGTTCTTTCCCCTTTGAATTGAAAAATACCCCCTCGATTTCAATTTCTACTGCGCTAGATGGAGTGTTAAATAGCGGCCGGGACACCGCGCCCGGTAACTGAGCCCAAAACAAACACAAAGACAATTCCATCATCTCTTCTTTTCAATGTTTACGACTCTTATAACGTAAGTGAAACTGAACAGCAAGGAACGCTCCGTTGGACAGATGAGAGGGGATGGGAGAGGAGATCCACAGCTGAAATCTTGCCATAGTCTTTGGAGAAGTGGTGCAAAATACCCCTCCTTTTCCCGCCTCGGAGTTTGGAGAAATAAGAAAACAACTCTACGCACACACACACACACACACACACAGCTCCTCCAGGCCGAGAGCATCCTGTGTGCGTGGATGGGAACAGCAGAGCTGGGGCAGGTCAAGCAGTACCAGTGTGGGGAAGGGAAAAAAAAAAAAAAGGCAAAGCATCCTGAATCACAACATACACTCTTCATGAATGCAATGCACACCTGGATACCGAGTGCCAGGAGCTGAGGGGGACGGGTCCGTCACCAGCAACGGGCACAAAACGACGGACGTAAAGGAACTGCATGAAGAGGAGAACTCCAGCTTCTCTGGTGAACGCCTTCAAAAATAAGTCACTCCGCCAGCACATGCTTCCCCCACCCCATCCCAGGGAAAACAGAACAAGAGGAAAAAAAAAAATAAAAGAAAAATCAAACTGAAAGAAAATGCACAGCAAATAGACATAATCTTGAAGATTTTTAAAGAATAAATATTTTTTTTGTAATTAAACATTATGCAAACACGTGCCACGCTTGCTCTTTGTCCATGCATATGCGCTATATACAACTTTGAAAAATACTGTGTTGTCCTCTTTTTTTTTTTTTTTTCCTGTTTTAAAAGTCATATACAAAGTTTTTTTTCCTTGCTGTGTACCCCCCTCCTCCCCTCCCCAAAAAGTCATCTTTACAAGGAGCCAATCAACATTCATCCATGTACTGGGGGGGGAGGGGGGGGTAGAGAGGAGGAGGGGGGCAGGAGGCATCCCCCTTACCAAAGTACATCAAAATGGCTGGTTTGGACATGAAAAGCAGTGTCAAGAAACTGTTTAAATTTCATCTGTACTACACACAGGAAAAGAAAGATAGAAAAGAAAAAGGAGTCGGCTTGGAAAATGAAGCTACGTTACAAGTTAAAGTTGGAGGGTTGCTTTTTTTTTTGTTGGTTTTTTTTTTTTTTTAGTGAGTCTGTCACACTCTTATTGGCCGCCTAGAATACTGTTGTACAATGGTTTATCTACCTTTTTTTTTTTATTACAATATAATTTACTTAAATTTTCCGTTAACAAAACAGAATCCCGGTTCTACAGACCAGCGGTGTAACAGGCGCAGTGCCTTGTGTGTGTTTTTTTAATCGCATGAGCGCTCTAGATGGTAAAAGTTTCAGAGTTCGTTTAATGCGGGGCCACTCTCAGTCCTCAATGTACTCCCACAGGTCCTTCTCATAGCCTTCATGCACGTGCTGCAACAAAACCCTTCGTCGACTCTCGCAGTATCTGCAGCAGAGGGGGAACAGCACAGAGAAAGCAGGTTAGGAGGCACAGTTCTTTCCCAGTGTTGAGTAATGCAAACCTAAATTAAGCCTTGCTTCCAAAAGGGGGTATCCCCTGAGAAGGGCTTTATAGTTGTAGCCAGTTAACAGCGCTAATTAAGACTTCAGTTACTCCAGTCACTCGCTCCAGGTCCCTGGTTGAAAAAACATCATGCAAATTTAGACAGTTTCCCCATGCAAAAGCATCCCCGAAGTCCCTAGAGCTGAGAAATAACTGAATAATAGAGCTTTAATAACTGAAAAATGAAGAAGTGGCAGCTGCCAGTTGGAAAAAGCCAAAGCACAGTTTAGCACTGACACCTGAAATGAGAGAGCGCGCTCAGAGGAGAGCTGGCGCACGACAAACCCAGAGCAGGCCGGGCCAAATCTTGGGAATGCTGACCCTGCTTGGTTCCCAATGGATGTGGCCAAGCACTGAGAGCAGACTACAGGAAGGGGACTGGCCTGGCTGCAAAAGAAGCTTCACCCCCTAACTCCAGTGCCTTGCAAACTCTTTACACCTACACTCGTTTCAACTGATACAGCTGCAAATAAACTGATTCCAGATTTAGGTACAGTCCTACCAGAAAGAATGATAGTGAGGAAAAGGGATTTCATAGGAACATATCAAAAGATGCCATATTCATTTCGAGTGCGATAGCCAACTAAAAAGATAAAAGCAGAAAAAACATTGAAAGTATTCAGGCTCCAGGAGCAAACTATAAATGAGCAGCTCTAACACTGCTAGTTTGTAAGCTCTAACACTGCTTAGTACCTGATCAGATGGGGCAGATTTATGTGCACAGAACTGCTCTGTCTCTTCCCCTTGCCGTCAGCTGCTGCAACACAAGCCATCACACACAGAGTCCCATTGATTTAACAAAGCATGTGATAGCCAACGTGCAACAGTTCCTGCTTTCCCAACTTCAGTTCCTTTGTAGTGATGGGGGTTTAATCCTGCTTTCCAGAAGAGCTTTTGTAAAGCAGATGAGCTTCCCAGTTCTTTAAACCCCACCTGCCCACCTCAGTAACATCCTTGGTTCCAATCTTGCATCGTTACTCCATAAGCAGTACACAAAGAGCACTGTGCAGGACATGATTAAGACGTGACCAAATGAGTTAACTGGGACCTGCACAGGCTTGACAGATATGCACGGGCTTTCCAGAAATAAGAAGGCAGGCTTGGGATGCTGTTTTCAGGCAATTCAAGCTATATCACACTCTAATTTCTTCTGGATAGATGTAATCATTCCTAGAAGAGCATTCAGTTTCACAGGACCTAAAGCAAACAGCCAACCCGGCCTAATGGCCACTTATCAAATGCCTCCTGTGAGCCTTGTCCAGTGCTGCCAGCCCGCACAGCAGAACGGCCTACTGGCCCACTGCAGGCTAATGGCTGCTTCCAGTCCTCACGCCCCCTTCATCACTACAGCTTACGCTACTTGGGCACAGTTCTTCCCCAAGTTAGATGCAAGAAATTTGGTGACTTTGGCAAAACGCCTAAAAAAAAAGAAGTCATAATCCTGTGACTCATTCGCATTTTACATCTTTGTATTTTTCCACTGCGCAAAAGCAATTCCCCCAGGACTACAAAGAGCACTGGCACTTGTATCACCTGGGCCCTCGCTCTCCTGCTCTCTTCCTGAGTTCTCTCCCTTTTCCTCAGTACAGCTTTTCTGCACTCGCTTTTTGCTCAAGGGACGTGCTGTGCAAGCAGACTCAACAGACAATGGAAAGAGCTGACTGCTTTATTACAGCAACTTGACCTAGGCCAAAATTGTGGGTTGGGAACAACAAAGTCACTCCTTGTTTCTCCCTAGACCTGCCTGCGCAGGTCTGTCTCAGCCCTGGCCACTCCTCAGCGCTCCTTCTGTGCAGTGCGTGGAGAGCCACTGCTTTTGGTCACCAGATGTCAGGGGCTGGCACAGCGCACTGCTCTGCTGTGGCTCAGGGGCAGGCAGAGGATCCCAAAGCACAGCAGGAGGCTGACACCACGCAGCTTCCCAGGGACATGACTGGAGAAAAGGCCAACTTGGCGAGGCGCCACACCACAGCATACCACAATGGATGACAATACAGTAGGAAGGGCAGCTTTGAGATAGCTGTTCAGGAACAAACCTGTACTTATCCTGTACTTTCTGCTTTATGTCTTGCAGCGAATCTTGGGAGATATCTCGCTCAAGGTACCCAGAAAGCACCTCTGTAGCATTCTCTAAGTCTGCTTGGTTATTCTGCAAAGACGGGAGAAGAAAAAAAAAAAGCATTTTTTAGGAGGAAGAAATTTCTTTCATCAGTCCAAATGAAAGAAAAAACAGGATGAGTGAAACTGCATAATATTCAGGTAACCTGGTCTGAGAACCATGAATGAAAGAGCAGAAATTTCATCCTTTGGTCAGAACAGAATCTGTGTATTTACCAGCAAGTCTTATGTCTTTCTCAATCTGGAATACCTTGGCAAGCCTGAAAAGTCTTTTCCTTACTAGCAGTACAGTGTGGTACAGGCCAAATTATCTCCCATTGTGTCCCTTGTGTATTTGTTTATCTTCAGCATTGGCAAAGCCTCTGCTGACTCCTAGTACAAGCACTGCAGCATCAGAGCACAGCTTGGACTGCTGCTCAGTAGTTCTGCACACAGCCCAGAAGCCTTCTGCTTGGGTTGTGCACCAGCAAAGGATTGTTTCAAATCAAACAGCTAACAGTTTCACCTGCAAAGCAGATCATTTAAATCTCCAAGTGCAATTTTAATGATAATGCCCTTAGAAAGAGACCAGAGAAATGCAAAACACCAGCTTTCAGCTTTTGTGCATTCTTTGCCAGTTCAAAGCCAGAACTTTGATCCTTTTTCTTATTTCAGAGTGTGGCAACTTGCAGCTCCG